GTCTATTAAAACTGTCTCTACACAAAGTGATTTTATCCTTCATTGATCCTGCTACTAATGCAAAACAAACAAAAAACCTTACCTACCTTACTAATAGAGAAAATTAAACATACCTAAATTTAATAAGATTTACTAAAGTGAGAGAATAAAAAAAAACTTTCTGAATGCCTACTTATAGGAGATTTTTAAGGAGATCAAATGTCCACAAACCATGCTTTTAAATTAAAATTAAACTGATGTGGTGGTGCATGCCTATAATCCCATCATTTGAAAGGCTGAGGCAGATGGATCACTGTGAATTTGAGGCCAGCCTGGGCTATGTAGAGAGTTCAAGGTCATCCTGAAGTACATAGTAAGATCCTGTCCCAGAAAAATAAACAAAAATAGTTTAGTGTTCAATAACATTGACATGCATATGTGATGTCAATGCAATGTACTTGACATTGATATGCTATTAATATAAGTACATGGTTTGTACTTCATGCAAATAAGCAATATGCATTTCACGAGGTAGGAGTCTTACAAATGTCAATAAATAGAAGTTTTCTCAAGCATCTTTTTCTTTTTTGTTCTGAGACTTTAGTTCTGAGAGATATTTTTGTACTAAAAATAAATTCACTGTTGCTCATGACACCACCACCTCTGTTATCATAATGCTGCCATCCTCTTCTATAACTAACTCTATCCTCCCTCTGCACAGATATCTTCTCATGATTCATCATGCTGGAATATGGATCAGGGCAGACATTACTGAAAATATGGCTAAGTAGAAAAGCTCTATCTAGCAGGTGTTTTTTGAGGTCTAATGTACACAGTGACAACTGCTATTTACATTGACACACTTATTAAACATGTACATATATACAGTTGGAACAAAAATCCCATGAAACAATAGTGATCTTATATAAGATGTACTCTATTAATCTGTCTTCTCCCTCTCTCCCTTCATCTCTCTCCCTGTCTTGATCCATTAAACTGATTTCATGAATCGCTAAATAAATTCAACTCCCATTTTAATAAATACAGTCCAATCTAGAACATACCATAAAATTCTAAGCAAAAGACTAAATCAAGAGATATGATTTAAGTCAGAGAGGAACTAGGTTATTAAAGATCTTAAAATCCTGGCTTTAGGGCATCAGAGTCAACATGAGATGGTCCAGTCAAAAGAGTTAGTAAGCTGTGATCATAGGGTTACAGACCAGATTTGCTTACTTTTTTAATCATTAGAGATCAGGAGTCCAGACCCTTAGACATTGATTCCATTGAACATTCTAAGATATCTCAAGATTTATTCAGTGTAGGTGCAGGTGTAGGGAATGGTGATGCCATTGTAGAGCTCTTTATATTGATATTTGTTATCTTCTACAAAGTCAGTGTCTACTGTTCATCTGTCAACAGATAACTGTTAAGTCTAATGCTTCAGATTTTTTGTATCTGGTACTTAATCTATGCTAACTGATTTTATTGCTCATTGGTACTGTGGAAAATTATGGACATTCCGTTATAGTCAAACCACAATAAACTGTGTTTATAATGTATCAGAAGAATCAACCCAGGCCTTCAAGATAGTTTTAGTTAAATTTTTCTTAAACATAAATTATTTTATTGACTTTTTGAGATGCTAGTTGTACTGATGATTGAGGGTAATTGATGATATTACCACCCATAAAAATCTAATTCTGTAGTAAAAACACTTGCATGTTAATTTAAAATGTTAAATATATAAGATTTGATATACATTTTAGCTCATTTAAAATATTTCAAGTCATATTTTCCTATTTATTATTTATAGAAATTAAATATTGATAATCAAATTTTAGATATGGCAAGATTTAAAGTTGAGAAAGATTTTAAAAACTTTCACATCTAATATTTTTCATCTGAGATAAAGATTTTTCTCCATTTATGAGGTGATAACAGCTTTAGGTTTAACTTGAATGGTTAAATTTCAAATCACTTTTTAAACTGTATATATACATGCTATTTATCTGCATATATTTTATCTGTATATTAAAATGCTCTGATTTATCAGCATTACATTAAATTAATTTCACCTACAGTTCTATCTAAGTAAGGATTATTTTAGGGAATAATTTACTTGTTTTTAAATTTTTTCTCATTCCTCTGTTTGGAAGAAATGAAATTAGGGTTAGCTTGTTTCATTAAGATGTGGAGTGTTAAGCTATATTTCCTTTATCTTTCTTATGGAATCATATCTATGTGTATATTTTTATTTCAGACTCCAGTAGTTGTGAAAGATGAGATCACATTTGACTTGTTTTCAGCAAATGAACATTTATTCTGCAGTGAGGTATGTAGGGAAGTATGAACCAAAGTTCCACTGCAGAATGCTTTCTAGATGTGGGAAAACCTTCCAAACAGCCACGCTCAGTTTTCCCTTGGTTGCCTTTAAGTTTTAGTATAACTTAGTATTTTTTCCCACTTTTTTGAAATACAAACTGAAAATTTAAAATTGTGTAAGTTCAAGATAGATAGTCTGATGCTTTGATTTATGTATGCAATATGGAATACTAGACACAACCAAGAAAATTACCTCGTATAATTTTGTTTCTGATAAGAACACTTAACATCTACTATTTTAGCTCACTTTTTGTAAAAAATTGTAAGTGCTTTCAGATGTATTTAGTGTCTGTCTCTCTTTTTCTCCTTTCTTTTCTCTCTCCCTCTTTCTCTCTGTTATATACACATACAGCTAAATAAAAGTCAATTTTGTTAGGCACTTTAGTTTGTATTCTGACTGCATTTCCTAAAAACAAAAGCTATGATCTTACTCTGTAGTCTAGAAATCAAAATGCAGAATACAGTATATGTAAAATTCAGTACTATCAAAAGTAGATTTGTTTTACCCCACCAACTGGATTGAGAAATAACCAATTAACACTAATGTCCTTTGTTTCTAGTTGATGAGGTGGATTATCAGTGAAATCTGTGCAGTATGGAAGATACTCAATGGAGAGATTTTGAGCAATTATTTGAAAGGTGCTTCAGGGGAACCTCCTATTCTCCTGTGGAAGCCTTGGGAACATATATATTCCCTATGCAAGGCTGTGAAAGGCCACATGCCTTTGTTCAATAGCTATGGAAAGTATGTGGTGAAACTTTATTGGATGGTAAGTTCAAGTTCACATGTATTGAAATTCATATCTTTCATATTGAAATATATTTGTCATACCTGAATCCAAGGCTGGAACAAATGTACTTAGTCCACTTTGGAAATCTCAAGCTGATCCAGTCATATAGCCCATCTCTTTAGGAAACTTAGCCTGGCAAGGCTCCAGGATATCCTGACCACATATCAGTAACCTGTCTGTGGCCTTTTAGGAACAAGGCCACACAGCATGATGTGAGCAATGGGTGAGAAAGTGAAGCTTCATCTGTATTTATAGCTGCTCCCCATCACTCACATTACCCCTTGAGCTCCACCTCCTGTCACATCAGTGGTGACATTAGATTGTCACAGGAGTGTGAACCTTGCTATGAACTGCACATGTGAGGGATCTAGGTGGTGTACTCTTTATGGGAATCTAATGCCTGATGATCTGAGTTGGAGCTGAGGCAGTGATGCTAGTACAGGGGAGCAGCTGCAAATACAGATTAACATTAGAGAGGTTTGACTGCACAGAGACCACAATAAATCAGCTGTTTGCAGACTCATGAAACTCATGAAAATGCTATCAGTGAGTGGCAAGTGACAAACTGAATCTGGTGGCAGCTTTCAGGTGGTAAATGAATTGATGTACTTCAATTGTACAGTTGCATCTGGTGGTGGGCTCTAAGTCAAAATCCATCACTTATTTTAGTCCACACTTATTTTAATCCAGAAATTTTAATCTTTCGTGCACTGCACAGTTGTCTCAGTCACAATTTTGCCAAGTCCACAAGCTAATTTGAGCCAAAATGAGTAAAAGACAAATGTCATTGGAGAGCTTCATTGAAAAGAGGGAAAGATCCAATGATGAGTCAGCAGAAGACTCTAAGACTGCCAACAAAAACAAAACTGAATTTAAAAGAAAATATCAAGAGTCTACTTAAATCATGGGCTCATTGCAAAGGATGATGATTCACTCTCCACAATTGCTTTGTATTATGTATGGCAACCTGCTCTCCATTGAAGACATGAAACCTTCAAAATTGCTTCACATGGAGACCAAGGGCCCTGCATTTAAGGCAAGCCTTTGGATTTTTTTAAAAGAAAAACAAACAAACAAACAAACAAACATGAGCATGAAGAACATAAGCAATTATTGAAGGCTACCACTTTACTAAATGTGTCTGCATTGACAGCATCATTTTCAGTGGATAATCATATTACTTACTAAAGCTAATAAACCCCTTACTATCGATGAAGCATTGTTTGCTGCTAGATATTTATCATGGACTTTTAGGAGAGCTGTGGTTCAAAAGGTGACTTGTGTGTTCTTTTTTTGGCTAACACTATTACTAGACAAGTTGTTGAAATAGCAGAGGATATTGAAGCACAATTACTAGAGAGGGTTAATGATTAACCATTTAATACAGATTGAGGAGTCTGCTCATGTTGACACCAGGGCAAAATGCTTGATTTTATAAATTTCCAGGCGGGTATACATGAAGGAATGTTATGTCCATTTTTGTTGCCAAACAACACCACAGCTATGGAACTATTCATGTCTTTGGATGATTATATCTTAGGAAAACTGAAGTGGTCATTTTGTGTCAATATATGCCTGGATGGAATAGCTGTTGTGGCTGGATGGCTTTCTTATTTCGTTGCTTAGGTCAAATAGGTCACTTCTGAATGTGCACCTATCTATATATGGTGTTATCCACAGAGAAATGCTGGCTAGCTGATAAATGTCACTTGAACTTCAGAACATTTTGCAGAAGGTGATTAAAATTATCAATCACATTGAAGTACATGCCCTTAACTCGTGTCTGTTTGTGCATCTCTGGGAGGAGATGAATGCAGAGCACACACATCTCTTTATTTTTCCCCAGAGGGGTGCACCATTCCTGGAGTTACTGCAATACCAGGTTGATGCATGGAATAAATGGAGCAAGTTCCCATACCATCTCCCAGCTCCAAAACTCCATTTAATATATTGTCCTTGGTTAGAGGATCTATCAGATATTAAATTGATAAGAACAGATACTATACTTGCTCTTAGCCAAAAGACTAAGAAGTTATGCACATCTTCTCTTATATGTAGAAGTGAGATGGCTTTCTAAAGGTAGATCATTGGACAGAGTTTTGAAATTAGTACAATAGATTTCTTTTAGAAAAACAGTCACTGCTACCAGTACATTTCAGTGACATAGGAAGGGTTTTAAAATTTGCTTATTTGTGTGATGTTTTAAGCCTGCTTAATCTGTCACTTTAGTTAAGAATGACAATCATATTCAAGTCAGCATATAAAGTGACTGTATTCAAAACCAACCTCAAATTATGGGGACAATGAGTGAATGTTGGAATTTTTGACACATTTCAAACATTAGCTGAGATTTTGAAAGAGATTGAGACAGGGCCTTCTTTCTTCCATCCATTGCATGAACACCTATCTCAGCTTTCAGAAGAGTTTGAGCATTACTTCTCAATCACAGAAGACCCCTGAATCTAAGAAGGAATGAATCCTCAACCCATTTGTGAATCAACTTGGAGGTTCAACTGCTTGAGATCACAAATGGCAGTGGCCTTAAAAGTATGTTTGAGACAACTTCTGATATCCATATATTCTGGATTAAAGTCAAGGGAGAATATCCTGAGATTTACAAAAGCCATAGGATGTCTTCTTCCATTTCCATTATCCTATCTATCTGAATCAGGGTTTTCTGCAGTGACAACAATCAAAACAAGATTAGATTAGGGGACATGGGGATGGCTTTGAGATGATTCAAGTATATTATATTTATTATGCACCTTATTTCTGTTATTATTAAACTGTATATAATGAGTAGCAATACAACTCACCATAGTGCAGAATCAGTGGGAGTCCTGAGCTTGTTTTCCTGCAACTAGATGATTCTATCTGGGGGTTCTATCTTTAAATTTGTATTTAATATAGTTTTTTTTTTGGTACCAGGGATCGAACTCTGGACCTTGTGCTTGTGAGGCAGGCACCACTGAGCTAAATCCCTGGACCTGTTATTTAATAAACTTAATATTGCTGTCATTTTGAGTATTGTGCCCTCTTAGTTATATTTTATCATCAAAATTGAGGTTTTATGGGCTGGGGATTTAGCTCAGTGGTTCTGGTGCCTGCCTTGCAAGCTCAAAGGCCCGAGTTCAATACCTGGTACAAAAAAAAAAAAAAAAAATTTGAGGCTTTCTTACTGTTTGGTATAGTGAGTAATTTTGGACATTTTTTCTATTATGTTTTACAACTCTGGATTCTAATTAATTTTCAGTTTTAGTAGTCTATTTATCTATTTATTTATTTTATTTTATTTGTTTTTGGTACTGGGGATCGAACCCTGTACCTTGCACTTGCGAAGTAGGCACGGTGCCACTGAACTAAATCCCTGGGCTCTGATGGTCTATTTAGATTAAATTCCTCTTTTATCTTGCTGGGCTGGCTTATCAAATACTGAGTCTACAAAGCCTCTATTGTGCTCTTCTGGTCTCCCACTCTTATTTGTTATCCAGGTAAGACTCCATCCATGTGCCACTTTGTTCCTGCATGGGCAGTGGGTGGAAATGAGTTCCTCCAGCAAGCTCTACCTGGGAAGGGTGCTTCCTGTTTGTTGCAGGAGGAGGGTGGAGGTCTTAGTTCTGTTCACTGATTCACTGGGGAGAGTAACTGTGTTGTATGCTTTAGTGTGGGCATGGAAGTCCAAGACCAATCCTTGGGCCCTGTATAGGGAAGGGTACTGCCTTATTACTGCAGTAGGGTAGGGTAGTGAAGTCAGGTGCTAGTCCACATATGCAATTTTCCTGATTCACCTATTTGCCAAAATCTCTGTCCACTGGTTACTTGTTTCTTGATCTTTTCTAATTGCTATTTGTCTTATTGATTTAAAATTCTTTTGTATTATCCTTTCAGTATGCTCAAAGGAGGAAGAGGGTATAAATTATGTAGCCATTTAGTTATCTTCACTTGGAGTTCAAGTGTTACAAATATTACATTTGAATGTAGTTATATTACAAAGCATTTTCAGAACATGTTTATATATTTAAATTTATATTATATTAGTAATTTATATTTATAAGAAAGGAAGGTTGCCTCTTAATAAGCATGCTAAATAAACATTGTGATAGTCCTTTAATGTGATGTTAGTCCAGTAGACTTTTTAAAAAAAGTCTAATACATCATTTATATGCAATAATAAAAATACCAAATGTAAGCATAATTCAATATTTTATGATAGAGTCTCATAAATTATAGATAGTACATTTTACATCTATAACAAAATACCACAGATCAAGAGGCTTAAAAACAACAGAAATCCAAGATGAAGGCATCAGGAGATTTGATGTCTATTAAGGAACTTCTTCCTAGTTCATAGATTGAGGTCAGTTTGCTCATTTTAACCTCACATGGCAAAAGGGGAGAACTCTACCATTTCATACCTTTAAAAGGGCACAGATCTCTTTCTGAAGGCTCCAATCTTATATCCTAATCCCACGCCAAAGGACACCCTGCCCCCAGGACCAGCATATTGGGTGTTAAGATTTCAGTATATGCTTTTGGAGGGGAAATAAACATTCAACTAAGCTGTATATACAGTATTTAATATATAATGTATATTGTATATAATATTCAAGTAAGATTGAAGAACGCTACTGATGTGTAATATAAACGAATAAAAAACATTCCCAATAAAATGGTTATAAGTTTAGTTAAACTATGTTTTAGAAATTTCTGCAATAAGCTGGGGATTTAGCTCAGTGATTCCAGCACCTGACTCACAAGCACAAGGGCCTGAGTTCAATCCCTGGTACAAAAAAAAAAAAAAAAGAAATTTATGCAAAACTGAAAATCGATCCTCTATGTAGTATTTTTGAAACAGATATATTGAAGTCTGATTCACATACCATATAATTTGCTCATTTAAAGTATACAATTTAGTGATGTTTAGTAATCAAAACACTCAACTGAATGTTGTCTATGGTCATCAGTAAGCAGGTGATATTAGTTGAACTGCTCTAGCTTACTAATGACTGATTAAACCCTTTTCTTTGTAGGAATTCAGTTGACTCCTTGAAAAAATTGTTTTGAAAATAGAAGTGTGGGAAGGGAACACCTATTGCTATTTTTTAAATCTCAGTAAAATATACATGCCATAGGATTTAATTTTTCAACGTTCTAAATATACAATTCAGTGGTATTATGTAGTTTCAGAGTTATGCAACTGACATTCCTACCTACTTGTAGAATATTTAGTCATCCCAAGCAGAAATCCTGTAGTCATTAAACAATGACTTCCCACTCTCCCTTCCTCTAATCCCTGCTAACCTCTATTTATAAATTAGCCTTTCCAGGTAGCTTCAGTAATTGTTCATCACACGGCATTTTTCCTCTTACATCTAGTTTATTTCTCTGTGAAATTTTTTTTTTTGGTAATTTCATTTGAAATTAGAGAAAGTAACACACCTGTGCTTTAACCGTATCCTGCCTTATATCACCTAGTAAGGGAGAAAGAAAAACAGAACCTCTAAATAAACTAACATGAAATTTGGGGTTACAACTGTCATACAACTAAAACATTTTTCACCTAATTTTATCTACCTGAGAAAAATATCTTCAGTTCAAATCTCACTTTCTTGTGATGACTTTCTCCAGCCAAATTGGTCATACTTTCCTTTCTGGTCTTAGTGCACTTTGAACATACTGTATTTTATGTTGTTTGCATATGTGCCTTCCCCTACTAAACCACAAATAATTAATGACGTAAACCATGTGTTATGCATATTTTGCAGTTCACAATTCTTGACATCACTGCTGAAAATATTTTTTGCCAAAGGAATTAATTTACCATAAAACAACATGCAAAGCTGAAATAAACCGAGTTCATAAATTTAATGTTACGTTTTAATTATGAAGTAAAATGTGCATAGATATAAATATGTATTTTACTAAATAAGACATTAATTCACTCCATGTTAAAAATTAGATCTTTAATTAGGAATAGGTATAATTTCAGAATTAGAAGTGTAAGATCAATGAGCACATGTTAGGATAAGCAGTAATTATTAAGGTTTTATTTGAGGGGTTTGTATTCTGTCTATATATAATAAATTAATCATGCCCCCCAGCTGGTATAATGTTTTAGTTCTTCTATTTGTGGTATTTTAATTCACTGCATTGTGTGCTCACAAAGCCTCAGAAATAAGTATACTGATGCATAGCTATGGAGGTGCTATAATTACAAAATGAAATAGTGATAACATTAATCATATTAATAAAATGCTAAGCCAGAGTGATATTGAAAATTAGTATCTCATACAAATACTAACATAAATTGATAAAACAGTAAATGGCAATGTTAGTAATATGTAATAATGTATAACAAAAAATGCTATAAATCCTGGTTGGCATGACATTGTTTTCTACTTATTTTTAGGGCTGCTGGAGAAAGATAACTATTGATGACTTTCTGCCTTTTGATGAAGATAACAATCTGTTGCTTCCAACTACAACCTGTGAATTTGAACTCTGGCCCATGCTGCTGTGTAAAGCTATCATTAAGCTGGCAAATGTTGAGTATGTAGTAAGAAATTATCACTTATTTGTCTAAAAATAAAAAGGCAAAACAGCAGCTATACATTCATGTTAAATGACTTCATTTAAAAAAGTAAATTAGAAGACTTTTTCCAAACAATGTAAACTTTGAAGTATTGAAATCAGTGTGTCAAAGCTGCTAATTTGAAGCGGTCAACTGTAAGATAAAATTGTCTCAAGAAAAAAAAAACAACTTAGAAAATGATTCTATACCTAACGTTTTCTTACTATGAATAAAAATGGATCATGGGAAGTAGTGCTTCAGTTTAATAGGAGAAAAATTGTCTTGTAAGGGAAAATGCTAGTTTATCTAATTAGTGAGTTATGTACACTGGGACCCAATTAAAGTTTAGGTCTGTATATTTTGCAATAACTTAAAACACTTGAAGTTTTCAGAATGATGTCAATGTGTTCTTTGTGCTTTTGACATTAGTCACTTTGGACACATTCATGATGAAAACTACTCATA